CGTATATGATGTCCGCCACCCATTGCAGAAGACGACGACTCCCAAAATCGTTTGGCAAGTCCAAAATCAATGAGATAAACAATCCCCGCATTATCACCACTACCCATCATGAAGTTATCAGGTTTAATATCGCGGTGAATGAATGAGCGACTATGACAGTACTCGATCCGGGCTATCATCTGCTCGCCTAGCAAGCTGCAGGTCTTCACCGAGAGACGCTTATTACAATACCTAAGTCAAAAACTGCTGTAATTCATTTCAAGAATACAAACACTTGGTTCGAAGGTCCGTACGGGTAAGTCAATAAGGCGATGATGAAAATGCATATAAAAAATTTTAATAGAGCGATTATTATCGGTTCGTTATACACTATGACATTTTCAATACCATCAGGCTAGTTCCCGAGGGCAATCACGTATACATGAATCCACTGGAGGCGCTCGTCATTGACGTTGATAGTAATAACCTCCTTGTTTGTCAGATGATACTACGTGAATAGATCCTCCAGACTAGGTCCCAGTCGTTCCATAACGAGAATATTATAGCCGCCTTCTACTCCAAACCAGAATCTGCGAAAAAATGAGTGACGAAAAATGTCAGTCAGTCGAAGTGGTGTTTTGATACGCGCTTGGAATTCCTTGTTGATGCTCATCGGATAGCAAGCGATAGAGCTTGGCCTCATACAAAAGCTGTGGGTGTTTGCAATCGACTGGCTCGAGCTTTGCAGCTAGTTGTTGACCAGTTACTAATAAGGAGGATAATGTGGGGAAGGTGTGGTATGAGACTTACTGGTATCAGTACAAGCGTAGACGGTCCCGAAGCTGCCTCCGCCGAGACGAGTCCCTAATCGGTACCTGAATGATGAAGACGATACAATAACAAAAGGTGTTCACTGCTAACGCAGAAAGGATTCTGGTAATAATTTTACGAGTGAATTTTCGAGTTTAATCTCGTGTTGTTAAGCTTGGAATCGAATCGAAATTGATTATCCCTCATAAAGTGCACACGATAGAAGTAGTGATAATAGTGTTAATAATAATAGTAGTAGTAGTAGTAGTAGTAGTAGTGTTAGTGATAGTATTAGTAGTAGTAGTAGTAATAGTACCTGTTCTGACCAACAAGAAGAGGGATGTCATGGGGCGGCATCAATCACTATAGAAGTAAATACAACTGACCAGCAATCTAACCAATTCTGTATCTTGCCGTCATCAACCTCTCCGACGTGACGGCCACAATGACAGCGTCACAGGAACAGCAGGATAAGCTACCGCCACCAGTGACGAGGCACCCTCAAAAATGTAGCTCGTGAGTCGCTTCGCTCCGCCTTAATTGTCACTTCGCGAAAAACATATGTAAGCAGTGAATAACCCGTAAAACACGTAAACCAATTTGGCGTTTTACGCGCAATACGAGTTGCTCCACTAACAAGTTTTCCACTAAGTTTTCCAGCCGCATCGTGGCTGATGATGAACTCGTTAACCTTCGCACTGTAGTATAGCCAATACTACGTACCATTGTCCCGCCCGTCTCTTTGCGGGATCTGTTTAATTGTTTGATGTGGTAAGGCTGTGATGGGTCAACGTTTCACTTGTGTCTCGTATAATCTACCATGTCAAATGTGTGTCTCCACAAAAAAA